ATAAATAAAATAAATAAATATATATTTTTACTTTTTAATGAAGATTAATATTGTTATCTCAAATTTATTTTACATCTAATAAAATTATCAATATCAATAAAATAAATTTTATATTCTCATACATATCTCAGCTTTCATGATTCAAATTAAATGAAATTTTAATATATTATAGATTGATATTATATCAAGATTGTATGAAATTTTGAACTAATTCTAATTGGTGCAACTTGAGATATATGATGTCAAACTTAGTGTTCAGAAACTTTTGATAATATTCTATAATAGATAAAAAAATAAAAAAAATAAAAAAAATTTAATTTAAGAATTTTGCATTCTTTCTATAGTATAAGCTGTTTTTTCTGTTGAAGATAAAGCACATATACAGTATATTGATTTGAATTTGTACTTAATTTAAGTTTGGCTATACCATATACAACTTTTGTTTTCAAACACCATATTGAATTTGATGTCATTTCTATTGTAACACCAAATTCAGGATAAAATAATACCCTTCATTTACCTCACCTTCATCATAAACAAATCCTATTATCTACTCTAATCTATCATCATCAATATATCAAATAGCTTCATAATTTTTAGCACAAAAGATTGCATCTACCATACTTTCTTTATCTAAATTACATTTTTCTCAAAATTGTTCATATGAAACTATGTCCCAAGATAGTGTTCTGCAAAAAATCTGATTCAATCCAAATCTGATTTAGATTCAACAGATTAGATCGAATTGGATTTATCAGATTCGAATCAGATTTAGATCTGGATTTTGATTTGATTTGATCCATCGGATTTGGATTGGATTCAGATTTAGATTTAATTCAATCTGATAGATTTGAATTTGGATTCAGATTCAATCTGTCAGATTCAGATTTGAATTCAGATTCGATCTATCAGATTCAGATTTGAATTCAGATCCAATTTTAGAATTAAAATGAAACTGCACATTATTCAATTAAATGTGAAAAAGAACATGTGGATTTAGGTACAATAGTGAGTCAAGGTGATTGTAAAAATCCTTTAGATTCAAAAATTGAAAAATATGCATATAAAGAAAAAGTTAAAAATCATAAAGCTCAAAGGATTATAGAAGATGATAGAGATACTTTGGCAAAATGGCTATATACTAATGCAAAGTATTATTTACCATGGGATAGTGTTTTACACAAATCAGATCAGATTGAATTTGAGCAAAATCTGATTCAATCTGAATCTGAAAAATCTGAATCTGATAAATCTGAATCTGAATCTGTATCTGAATCTGACAAATCTGAATCTGTATCTGTATTTGACAGATCAAAAAATATTTTAACAAAAATCCGCTTTCAACGTTTAGGAACGGCGTTTTAATGTTAAAAAAACAAAAATTTTGTTGTTTTTTAACAAAAATCCGCCTCTGACGTTCAGAACAGCGTTTTAATGTTAAAAAAACAACAATTTTGTTGTTTTTTTTAACAAAAATTCGCCTCCGATGTTCAGAACGGCATTTTAATGTTAAAAAAACAATAATTTTATTGTTTTTTTAACAAAAATTCGCCTCCGACGTTCAGAATGGTGATTTAATGTTAAAAACAACAATTTTGTTGGGTTTTTAACAAAAATCTGCCTTTGACATTCGGAACGGTGTTTTAATGTTAAAAAAATCAACAATTTTGTTTTTTTTAACAAAAATCCACGTCC